AGCACTAACAAAGCAAGAGAAAAAGAAAAAGAAGAGAAAGGAAAGGTATAGAATAGAATAGAGAACACTGCATGTAGTAGGGTGATATGGTTTGGCTCTGTGTCTCCACCCAAATCTCATCTTGAATTGTACTCCCATAACTCTCATGCGTTGTGGGAGGGACCCAGTGGGAGATAATCTGAATCATCAGGGTGGTTCCCCCATACTGCTCTCGTGGTAGTGAATAAGTCTCACAAGATATGATGGTTTTATCAGGGGTTTCTGCTTTTGCATTTTCCTCATTTTCTCTTGCTGCCGCCATGTAAGAAGTGCCTTTCACCTCCTGCCATGATACTGAGGCCTCCCCAGCCATGTGGAAACTGTAAGTCCAATTAAACTTCTTTTTCTTCCCATTCTCAGGTACGTCTTTATCAGCAGAGTGAAAACGGACTAATACACAGGGTATCGTTGTCCTAAGGGTGTGGTGTATGTATATATATTGAGCTGAAAAATAAAATCTATTTCTTACTGTGGGTCACAGTCAAAGAGTTAAGAAATACTGATCTAGATGTTTGTTAAAATGCAGATTCCCAGCACACCTGTCTTTCAAGTCACCTGCTTGGCCCTCTTCCAAGTGTACTTTTCTTCCTTTCCTTCCTGCTCTAAAGCTTTTTAATAAACTTTCACTCCTGCTCTAAAGCTTGTCTCAGTCTCTCCTTCTGTCTCCTGAGGAGGCAAGAATTGGGGCTGCTGCAGACCTGAACAGATACTTCTGGCTGCTAACACACTTTGGTGCCATGTGACTCAGATAAGTTATTATTTTAAAAATGTTTTTTAAAATGAAGATTCCCAGGACCCATACCAGCCCTATCAAATTAGTGGAAGTGAGGCCTGAAATCTACATTTTTAACAAGTACTCAGATATTCCTATGCACATTCAAATTGAGAACCACTGAAGTGCTCGGGAAGGAATGAATGTTTTAAAAACAAGTAAACAACAACAGAAAACGTAAATAGTGGGAAGGATTAACTGGCAGAATTGTTCCTTCCCCAAATCAATATTCATTCAGGCAGCATGGTAGAGCTGTTAAAAGCATGACCTTAGAGCCAGGCTCCCTGTGTTCAAATCCTGGCGCTACCACTCATCAGCTATATAACCTTGAACAAATTACTTTCCTTTTCTTTGCTTAGAGATGGGGTCTCGTTCTGTCGCCCAGGCTGAAGTGCAATAGTGAGAACCCCGTTCACTGCAGGCTTGACCTCCCAGGCTGAAGCAGTTTTCCTACCTCGGCCTCCTGAGTAGCTAAGACCACAGCTGTGTGACACTGCATCTGGTTAATTAAAACATTTCTTTTGTAGAGATGGGGTTTCACCGTATTGCGTAGGCTGGTCTCAAACTACTGGGCTCAAGCAATCCTCTCCACCTTGGCCTCCCAAAGTGCTGGGATTATAGGCGTAAGCCACCGTGCCTGGCCTACTTATTTTTTTTTTTTAATAATCAATTTTTTTTTTTTTGGAGACGGACTTTCACTCTTGTTGCCCAGGTTAGAGTTCAATGGCACGATCTCAGCTCACCACAACCTCCGCCTCCTGGATTCAAGCAATTCTTCTGCCTCAGCCTCCTGAGTAGCTGGGATTACAGATGTGCGCCACCACGCCCGGCTAATTTTTTTTTTTTTTTTAAATTGAGACAGAGTCTCGTTCTGTTGCCCAGGCTGGAGTGCAGTGGCACAATCTCGGCTCACTGCAACCTCCACCTCCTGGGTTCAAGCAATTCTCCTGCCTTAGCCTCCCAAGTAGCTGGGACTACAGGTGCATGCCACCACATCCAGCTAATTTTTTGTATTTTTAGTAGAGATGAGGTTTCACCACGTTGGTCAGGCTGGTCTCGAACTCCTGATCTCGTGATCCACCCTCCTTGGCCTCCCAAAGTGCTGGGATTACAGGCCTGAGTTAACTTTTCTATGCTTCCATTTTCTTATTTATAAAATTGAGTTAATAATAGTACCTATTTCGTAGGTTGTTATAAACATTAAATGAAATAAAATAAAGCACTTACTATCTACCAAGAACTATTTTAAGTGCCATTATGAGTATTCACTATTAATTATCATGCCTGAGTCGCGCTCAGTGGCTCACACCTGTAATCCCAGCACTTTGCGAGGCAGAGACAGGTGGATCACTGGAGCCCAGGAGTCTGAAACCAGCCTGGGGAATATGGCAAAACCCATCTCTACAAAAAATATAAAAACTCTTGCTGGGCGTGGTGGGTAACACCTGTAATCCCAACACTTTTGGAGGCCAAGGCAGGAGGATCACTTGAGGTCGGGAGTTCAAGACCAGGCTGGCCGACATGGTGAAACCCTGTGTCTACTAAAAATACAAAAATTAGCCAGGTATAGTACACGTCTATAATTCCAGCTACTCGAGAGGCTGAGGCACGAGAATTGCTTGAATCCAGGAGGTGGGGGTTGCAGCGAGCCGAGACTGTGACACTGCACTCCAGCCTGGGTGACAGGGTGAGACTCTGTCTCAAAAAAAAAAAAAAAAAATTAGCTGGGCATGGTGATGCACACCTGTAGTCCCAGCTACTTGGGAAGCTGAGGTGGGAGAATCACCTGAGCCTGGGAGATCAAGGCTGCAGTGAGCTGTGATCACATCACTGCACTCCAGCCCAGGCATCTCAAAAAAATGCCTGATTCTGAACTGCCAAAACTAAGAAAAAGAAACTCCACAGACAGCATCTTCCTTTTTAACCCTTTATCACTGGAGTCAAGGAACCTGTATATGAATCCCAGGTCTGCCACTTATATTTGCAGCATGATTTGGGACAGTTAACTAACAAAAGCCTTGGTATTCTCTTCCATAAAGCAGAATTGTTCCAACGATTAAATAAAATAGTGTACATAAAGCACTAACGTTTACTCCCTACATACAACAAGTGCTTAATAAATGACAGCTATCACTTATAATTTCCTTGTTTTATATTGCATTTACACTTATCTGCCTCTTTAATTTAAAAGTCTGGCCTATTAATTTGGCAATGATTCACAATTTTAAATGAGCATACTCTTGACCCAGAAATTTTCCATTTCCAAAAATTTATCCTAGGGAAATAATCACACAAGCGCTCAAAGTGTATGTTCAGTAGAGCTTTTAAAACAAAATGAAAACAACATAAATGTTCATTAATAGAAGACTAAATAGACCAGGTGCAGAGGCTCATGCCTGTAATCCCAGCACTTCAGGAGGCCGAGGCAAGTGGATTGCTGAGCTCAGAAGTTCTGAGACCAGCCTGGGAAACATGGCGAGACCCTGTCTCTACAAAAAATACAAAAACTAGCTGGGCATGGTGGTGCGCCAACTACTCAGGAGGTGAGGTGGGATGATCGCTTGAGCCCAGGATGTCAACGCTGCAGTGATCTGTGATCACATCACTGCACTCCATCCTGGGTGACAGAACAAGACTACCTCAAAAGAAAAAAAAAAAAAAGATGACTAAATAAACAAGTTATGTTCTACCCAAACAATAAAATACTCTGTTAAAAAAAAATAAAAAGATTTGTAAGTACTGACACGGAAAGTTTAAGGTATATTCCTGAGTGGAAAAAAAATGAAGGAGTAGAATAGGATATATAGCATGATTCCTTTTATATAAAATATATATTTCTACATATAACTAAATATGTATAAAGAAAATTCTAGAAAAATATACGTCAAACTTAATAGCAGTCTCCCCTGCTAAGGCTGGAAAGGAAGAAGGGGACTTTTGCTTTCAGCTTTATACTAAATAGTATGAAAAATAAAACCTAGAGAAAAGAGAAGCAGATCTTATGGCTCATAAAACAGTAATTATCTGTGAATATATTCCTTAAATTATCAACATAGCTCTTAAATTATTTTTATACATCCAGGAAAAATACAAACCACCAGTATAAGGATGTCTTAAATATGACCAAGAAATATATTCTTTGAAAACATTATAGTCAATTAATTCCTGACTTCTGCATATTTAAGTAGCTGCAGAAGACTTCAGAATGGAGGCTACTCTAAGTATAGGATGCCAGCATCTACTGTGGTAGTACTTACCTACTCAGACAATACAGACAGCTTACAAGTAACAGGAAGTATTAAGTATTTATACCTATAGCACAAGGCAGATAGTACTATAAGTATAAATACTTAATAAATGCTATCCTCAATAAAATTCACTAAACAGTAGATAAACATATACACAAATATGCTATGAAAATACTTTGTGTGGTATCTATTATCTCTATGCTTCTTCTTCCACATTGGGATTAAATCTTACTGGCGAATATACCCTTGAGCTAAATGCACCCCAATACCTTATAAACACAGTGCCTATTTAACATTCAAAAGGGGGAGAGTATGTTGTCAGCTGGAAGTGGCATAAGGATGGCCACATTCAGAAAGGATCACAACATTTTGAAGTTTTATTATATAAAACAGTGATACTCTCCAACAATACCAAAAACCTCTGTGTGCGTAAGATTTTTTTTCAACAACTGTGAAGAAACTATTTTAAATAGTATACTTCATTCCTCAGATACAGGTATAAGTCAACAAGTAGAAAAGTAAACACAGAACTTAAAACACAGGTTCAAGATATAAAGAGCTGGGCACGATGGCTCACGCCTGTAATCCCAGCACTTTGGGATGCCGAAGCAGGTAGATCACCTGATGTCAGGTGTTCGAGACCAGCCTGGCTAACATGGTGAAACCCCATCTCTACTTAAAATACAAAAATTAGCTGGGTGTGATGGTGGGCGCCTGTAATCCCAGCTACTTCGGAGGCTGAGGCAGGAGAATCGCTTGAACCTGGGAGATGGAGGTTGCAGTGAGCTGAGATTGTGCCATTGCGCTCCAGCCTGGTGACAAGAGCAAAATTCCGTCTCAAAAAAAAAAAAAAAAAAAGGCCGGGGGGGTGGGGGGGGAAGAAAAAATAAATAGAAATCAACACCCAAATAAAGAGGAATGATTTTATCAAACATACTTACCATTGAATGGATTGATTCCTGCCTTTATTCTTGAAATAATAGCTTCTTTTACTTCTTTTTTCTTCACACATCGAATACCCAGATTTTGGAAACTAGGAGGAAAAAAACAATATTCAAAACTGCATTATAAACACATGGAATACTGCAAAAAGCAAACATAGCAATACTGAAGTTATCATGCTGTCAGCTGGACATACCAAAGCATGAATGTGCTTCCAATTGCCCTTAATAAAGATCAGAGAGTAAGAAGTGGGGTTATATGGCTGGGTGCGTGGCATGCCTGTAATCCCAGCACTTTGGGAGGCCAAGGCGGGTGGATCACCTGAGGTCGGGAGTTCGAGACCAGCCTGACCAACATGGAGAAACCCCGTCTCTAGTAAAAATACAAAATTAGCCGGGCATAGTGGTGCATGCTTGTAATCTCAGCTACTCGGGAGGCTGAGGCAGGAGAATCGCTTGAGCCCGGGAGGCAGAGGTTGCAGTGAGCCGAGATCATACCATTGCACTCCAGCCTGGGAATCAAGAGCAAAACTCCGTCTCAAAAAAAAAAAAACAAAGGAAGTGGGGTTGTACTTCTAAGAACTGTTAAAATGATATATATCATTTTAACATACAGTGTTTTACAATTACATCTTACTAATATGCCTATGTCAAACATACCAAAATATAGATTAACAGTAAAGCAATACCAAATGGTAAAATTTACCTCCCAAATTCGGAATCAAATCAATAAAGTCTGTATGTTTGATAACACAAAGCAAAAGCTGTAAAAAGATGTTCACAGGTTGGAGCTCACACCTATGTTTTGCTAGGCCCACAAAAGTATTGCCTATATTTTTAAAAATCTGCACAGATTATCTACATTTAGAAATCGGGTAATTGCATATGAACATCTGGATTTCTGGCTTCTCTTGTACATGTTAAAGACCTGGCAATACTAGGTTGGCACAGAAACAACAGGCTAGGGACTGAACCCCATTTATGCAGGGCTCTTCAGTTTGCTACAGTGCCTGTTAGTCCTCCTACACTTGACACCACTCTTTTATGCTGTTTGCCTAGCTCCACGGAGATTTGCTTTTTGAGCCCTGAATTCACTGTTACTAGCAGTAGAATATGTTTTGTGCCATATAAAGTTATAGCCATTCATCACAAAAAATTACTAAAATTTTTTTATTAGAAAGAATTTTAATGCTAACAATAATATTTAACAAGTTTCAAAATATCATTTATGAAAAACTTCCCGATAGCTACAAATATTACTAATTTGCATATGTGTAGCATAGATGATGGTGGGGGGAACTCCCCCACCACCATCAGTCATACTTGTTCCCACATGGAAAAACCATGACATCAGTAAAATTGGGTGGGTGTGAATAAGGAAGCAAAACTCAATTAAAATAACATTACTATTGTTCAAACTTCACATGACACTTGCAACTAGAGGCTACTTTGTCTGCCTGTCTCCATGCTCATGCTGTCTTATGTTCATGCTCTTCACATTCAACACACTTACAATTTTGCTAGCACCTAAAATATCTCACATTTCCTTCCTCTGCCTCCAATAACTACAAAAATAAATCTTAAAAAAAAAAATTTTTTTTTCAGATGATCTCACTCGGCCACCCAGGCTGGAGTGCAGTGGCACCATAACAGCTCACTGCAACCTCCACCTCCCAGGCTCAGGTGATCCTCCCACCTCAGTCTCCTGAGTAGCTGGACTACAGGTACATGACACTCTACCCAGCTAATTTTTATATTTTTCTAGAGTAAGGGTTTCACCATGTTGCCCAGGCTGGTCTCAAGCTCCTGGACTCAAGCATCTGCCTGCCTCAGCCTCCCAAAGTGCTAAGATTATAGGGATGAGCCACTATGCTTGGTCGGCTAAAGCTTGAATTCTTAATCCTTTCTTGATATCTAGGAACTATAATCCTCTTCCTGAAAAGTATTCCACTTCTTTGAAAGATTCTTGGTTTGATTCTTTTTCTTTGGCAAAAGATTTTACAGAATTCTTCATATTAATATATTTATATTACTTCATTTTGTTTCATCTGGATAATCTCATATTTGACTGCTAGTCACAGAATATTAGAGGTGGTGGTAATTTTTGAAATTCTGAAATGAAGGATCAAGAGATTGAATCAATTATTCATTCATTCATTCACAGACATTCAACAAGTTTTGGGGTTCGTACTATATACCAAAAACTCTGCAAAGTAATGGGGATATACAATCCCTTTCCTCAAGAAGCTTACAGTCTAGTGGAAAGGTTGGCAAACTAACTCATCGACCAAATCCAGCATCTTGTCTGTCTTTGCACATAAAGTTTTATTGGAACACAGCCAAACTGATGTTTACATATTATCTATGGCCACTTTCATGCTACAACAGCACAGCTGAGCAACAGAGACCATACAGCTTGCAAAACCCCAAATATTTACTATCTAGTACTTTACAGAAAAAGTCTGGTAGTCTCTGGTCTAGTGAAGCAGATATACATTAAATAATCACACATACACAAATGCTAAACTGCAATCATAACAAGTTTTATGAAGGAAGTATACATGATGTTATGGGAGCCTATGATGGAACAGAAGAGACTTCCAGGCAAAAGGAACAGGTCACACAAAGACCCCTATAGAAGAGCACTGGAGGAGGAAACAGAGGAAACTAAAGGAAGGCTTTGTGAGTGGAGTGTAAAAATTAAGGAAAGTAGAGTTAATTGGAGGCTAGAAATACAGGTGGGTCATGTGGGCCTTATAGGATATAGAAGGAATGCTGTCTTTATTCCAAGAGCCAAACAAACCCGTTAAAATGTTTTAAGCAAGGGAGAGACAATTCCATTTGTATGTGGAATTCCATAAGATCACTCTGGCTAAAGTGAGGAAAGATAGAAGGTTTGGAAAAGGTACAAAATGGTTGATGCAAGACCAGTCAGATTATTCCAACAGCCCCGGTTTAGACTATAGTGGTAGTACGACAGTGATGAATTTCACTGAGTGAAGTGGATAGATTCAGAACCGCTTGAGAAAGTAATTGTTAGTAGATTCAACGTGTACACCTGGATGAGGAATGCCAGAGATGACACCTATAGGCCTTTCATAGCAATCACTAACACATGGCACATTGGAACAAGATCAATTATGAGGGGAAAGAGAGATGATCACAGTAAAATCATGGTTTGGGGCATATTCTATTTGAAGTGCTTTTTTTTTTTTTTTTCTTTTTAAGAGATAAGATCTCGCTATGTTGCCCAGGCTGGACTCAAACTCCTGGGCTCAAGCAATCCTCCTGCTTCAGCCTCCTAAGTAGCTGTAACTACAAGCATTGGGCACTGTGCCTGGCTACTTAAGGTACTTTTGAGACATTAAAGGGAATATGTTGAGAAGGCAATCAGACTAAATACCATTCCCCACCAAAAGGAACCAAGAATCTCTGGAAAAAGCTGATAGCTTCATGGCTGGGCAAACAAAGCACAAGATGGCCAGGCATGGTGGCTCATGTCTGTAATCCCAGCATTTTGGGAGGCTGAGGCAGGAGGATCATTGAGGTCAGGAGTTTGAGACAAGCCTGGCCAACGTGATGAAACCCTGTATCTACTAAAAATACAAAAATTACCTGGGTATGGTGGTGCACGCTGGTAATCCCAGCTACTTGGGAGGCCAAGGCTCAAAAATCACATGAACTCGGAAGGGGGAGGTTGCAGTGAGGCGAGATCGCACCACTGCACTCCAGCCTGGGCAACAGAGCGAGGCTCTGTCTCAAAAAAGAAAAGCACAAGTCTTGAACATTTTGTTTTGTCAGAAAGTAAAAAAGTGCTCAAAGAAAGATGAAGACATATCAAAAAAACACAGGAGACAGTTTGAAGAGGCTTGCATTAATCAAATCTGGGTCAATTTGAAAATCAAAAGAATAACAATAACTATAATACATTAAATACAAGAATGCATGAGTTTACAGTGATACTTTTTAAATGGAGAAAGAGAGGAAGGGAAAGTTCTTCTTTATAATAGAATGCCAAGATAATATTGCTAATAATGTAAAAAACTGAAGGAATATTTTGAGAATTATACTGCATCACTTCTATAGATTTCTTGCCCAAAATGTTTAATGTTAACATGAAAATATTATTCATGTTATTCATGTTAAATATAATGCTACCTATAGTGTGTAATCCTTAATGGGATCCTGAATTGGGGAGAGAGATGGAACAGCCATAAAGAGCATTATTAGGACAGTAAGTAAGGTGATCCAAAAATTTAACTGCCTGTAACTAAGAAAGAACAGCCAGAAAAGCAGGAAGTAAAACAGAAGTTCGTTTTCACAGAAGATAAGGAATAAAAATATTTCAGGTAAAGAGTGATCACAGTGTAAAATGTTGTTGGGAGGTCAAGTAATATAGACAAATATTTGCCAAGTGTGTATAATACTAGATATTTTGTGTTATTGTAAGAGGAGCATTTAAAGCATTTTTTTCTAAATGGTTATTACTAATATATGTAGAGACTATTAACCTCTTTTCTGTTGTAATTAGTTCATTTTTCCCCAAAAGCCAATACATGTTCATTACAAAAATGAATTATAAAATATAAGTTAAAAGAAAAACATAAAACCCTACAATCTTACCCACCCAGACAACTACTAATACCTTAGTATTAACATATATACTTCATATATATGTATAAATTTATCTTAAACGAAAATAGGATTATTCTTTACATATCGTTTTAAAACCTATTTATCTGGCCAGGTGACGTGGCTCATGCTTGTAATCCCAGTACTTTGGGAGGCTGAGGCAGGTGGATCACCTGAGGTCAGGAATTCGAGACCAGCCCAGTCAACATGGTGAAACCCTGTCTCTAATAAAAATACCAAAAAATTAGCTGGGCGTGGTGGCACATGCCTGTAATACCAGCTAACATGGGAGGCTCAGGCAGGAGAATCGCTTGAACCAGGGAGGTGGAGGCTGCAGTGAGCCAAAATCACACCACTGCACTGCAGCCTGGGCAACAAAGACTCTGTCTCAAACACAAAAACAAAAAACCCAAAAAACAGAAAACCTATTTATCTAATATATTGTGACTATCTTTACATACCAAGAGACATACTGGCAATATGATTTTTAAGGCTGTACAGGAGTACATTGCATGAATGTATCAGTTTATTTAATTAATCCCCTTTGCTTACTATTTGAATTGCTTCTAGCTTTTTGCCATTAAAAAGAGAACTGCAATGAACAGCATTAGAGCATAATGTCTGAGTACATGTAATTATTTTCTGAGGCTAAACTCCTAGAAGTGGAATGGCTGGCTCAAGAGGCATTCATATTTTTCGGGCTTTTGTTATGCAGTTAAATTGCCTACCAGACGACTTTATTAATTTACATTCTAACATGATGAATGGGCCCATCTTCTGGTAGCCTCACTATCATGAAATATTACATGATTATTTTTCTCTTAGAACTATTGTTATATGTTAATTCTATAACCTGCCATTTTCTAAATAATAACTCTAGAGTTTTCCAGTTGATTTTTCTCACATCCAGGCATTTTTATGTTAACTGTAAATGGGCGTGGCACAATGGCTCACATCTGTAATCCCAAGCACTTTGGGAGGCCAAAGCGGAAAGACTGCTTGAGTCTAGGAGTTCAAGACCACCCTGGGCAACACAGCAAAACCCAATCTCTACAAAAAATACAAAAATTAGCCGGGCATGGTGGTGCATGCCTATAGTCCCAGCTACTCAGGAGGCTGAGGCTGAAGATGGCTTGAGTCTGGAGGTGAAGGATGCAATGGGCCGAGATCATGCCACTGCACTCCAGCCTGGGTAACAGAGGGAGACCCTGTCTCAAAATAATAAGTTAACTATAAATGAAAAGACAGAGGCCGGGCGCGGTGGCCCACGCCTGTAATCCCAACACTTTGGGAGGCAGAGGCAGGCAGATCATCTGAGGTTGGGAGTTCGAGACCAGCCTGACCAACATGCAGAAACCCCATCTCTAATAAAAATACAAAAAAAATTAGCCAGGCGTGGTGGCGCATGCCTGTAATCCCAGCTACTCGGGAGGCTGAGGCAGGAGAATCACTTGAACCCAGGAGGTGGAGGTTGCAGTGAGCCAAGATTGTGTCACTGCACTCTAGCCTAGGCAACAAGAGCAAAACTCCGTCTTGAAAAAAAAAAAAGAGTGAAAAATTATTTCAAAAACTGTCCACCCCAAGAAAGGAAATCACGGTATACAATAAGTTTACGTTTACTTTTAATAACAATAAAAATGTCTTCCTGCTAACCATCATAAGATGTGTCTACTAATGAAGAATGAAAGGGTAGTTCTAATGCAAATAGTAAAAATATAAGTGTAAAATATAGTAAATAGAAGTAGAATGAGAAAATTATTCTGCTAAAAAGTAACAGACTGTCATGGAGAAGAAACAGAACGTCCTATGTCTCATCTTATTTCTGAAGATGTCTGTAGCTGTGTACTTACAACAAAGGTCTGCGTTCTTGTCCAAATTCCGCTTCATAGTAGCCGTCTCTGCAGTCTTTTCCAACTAAATCATGAGGATGAGGTTTATATGGGTCATTCTTTGTTACTAATGTAATTCTCACTTTTCCTTTTCCATAATAGTTCATAATCTGAAAAAAGGGGGAAATTAAATATATGATCCAAATAGATCGCATTAGAAACTGATCTACTAAATGAGAGTTCAATTTACATTAATTATAATGTAATTGGCACTAAATAAATAAAGTCCAACTGACAAACAACTGCACTTTAGATGAAACTTTCCAGAGAATACCAGTATAGAAGAACTTACCTCTCAGCTTCTTGACATATTTTCTGCCCTAATTTCATTTGGTCATATCATTTGACTCTGCTTAATTTTCCTTTTAAAACAAGTAAAACTCTACCCAAATTTTATCACAGAACATGAGAAAACAGATGTTAAGTCACTAAATGCCCAGCTCTTAAATGTACTGTCATACCATAAACATTCCTTGAATATATATTTAAGCCATATTGGAAAGGATAGCACATAAATATGATCATTTTACTTAATATGTGACATTTCACTTCACAAAAATATTTTTTCAGTAAGCATACCCCAACTGCACTCTAGAATAGGCAATAAATCAAATTGAGTTTAACAACATCAAATTTCACATAGAAAGTACATCTTAGAACACAGAGTAAAAAGGAGAGTTTAACATGGAAGAGGAATGAGGACAGGAAATAATGCTTAGTTTGAAAGCTAGTAAATTTGCAAGAACAAAGCGGGGAATATAAAAACCAGCATACCACAAAGGAGCAAGGTAAAGTAAGAATGGCTAGCTTACGAGGTAGAGGAAACTAAAATCCATAATTTTGAATTAGAATTTGAAAGTAACCAGGAAGTATTACATTTCTTTCTGTATGAAAGTAAAGGTAATTGCTCAAGACTATAAGTAGGCAAATACACAACTCAAGCTGTAAAGTGTTTAGGACCTACTGGAATAGTAAAAATACAGATCTTAGAAATATTTTAGAGATGCATAGGATAAGACGAATTATGAAGAAAACTTTAAAAATGACTCAAAAAACTGGCCAAAGAGTATTTCCTTAGTTCCTTTTTATTAGCATCTCACCCATTTTAACATTTAAAAGACTTAGATAACCCAAATCCATACTACTGCCAAAAATGTGATAAAAATAGAAATCTGGAATTCAATATATAATTTTGCCACTGATTTATTCTATAACTTAGCAATTCCCTTTAAGTTCATCAACAGAATAGACTTTGTAAATAATCTAGTTATAAAACAATGAATTAAGATCTGTTGATAAAAGTAACACTTTTCAAATAAAAAAAGTAACACTTTTCAAAATCTACTTTACCATTCAAGTTTTTAATTGGCATTTAAAGGATAAACCCTTCACTGAAACTCAAATGAAAAACAGTTTACAAATAGAAAATATAAATTTAGTACATTGGGCTGGGTGCAGTGGCTCACGCCTGTAATCCCAGCACTTTGGGAGACCGAGGCGAGCGGATCATGAGGTCAGGAGATTGAGACCATCCTGGCTAACACGGTGAAACCCCGTCTCTACTAAAAATACAAAAATTAGCTGGGTGTGGTGGCACACGCCTGTAGTCCCAGCTACTCAGAAGGCTGAGACAGGAAAATCACTTGAACCTGGGAGGCGGAGGTTGCAGTGAGCCAAGATCATGCCATTGCCCTCCAGCCTAGGCGACAGAGTGAAACTCTGTCTCAAAAAAATAAAAAATAGGCCGGGCGTGGTGGCTCACACCTGTAATCCCAGCACTTTGGGAGGCTGAGGTGGGTGGATCACGAGGTCAGGAGATCAAGACCATCCTATCCTGGCTAACATGGTGAAACCCCATTTCTACTAAAAATGCAAAAAAATTAGCCAGGCACCAGTGGTGGTGGGCACCTGTAGTCCCAGCTACTCGGGAGGCTGAGGCAGGAGAATGGCGTGAACCCGGGAGGTGGAGCTTGCAGTGAGCAGAGATTGTGACACTGCACTACAGCCTGGGCAAAAGAGTGAGACTCCGTCTCAAAAAAAAATAAATAAATATATAATAAGTAAATAAATTTAGTACATCTTGGCTGTGCGCGGTGGCTCATGCCTGTAATCCCAACGCTTTGGGAGGCCGAGACAGGTGGATCACCTGAGGTCAGGAGTTCGAGATCAGCCTGGCCAACATGGTGAAACCTTGCCTCTACTAAAAAATACAAAAATCAGCTGGGCGTGGTGGTGGGCACCTGTAATCCCAGCTACTTGGTAGGCTGAGGCAGGAGAATCACTTGAACCCAGGAGGTGGAGGTTGCAGTGAGCCAAGATTGTGACATTGCACTCCAGCCTGGGCAACAAGCACGAAACTCCATCTCAAAAATAAATAAATAAATTTAGTACATCTTATAACTATTAGTATGTTTACCAAAGTCATTTTTAGTCAAAAGCTTTTAAAAATTTATGCTAATGTGAGAAAACTACATTTATAAAGTGGTATTTCAAATCAGTCAATGACCCAGAGAATCAGAGACAAGCAACAAAGGTAAGAAAAAGGACAAAAAAATGTTCTAGCCCTAAGACTAGCCAAGAAGAATTATGATTGAGTTATCAAACCTATGTTTAATCTACAGAATAGTATCACCCACCTCTGTAGAGAATGGGTTTTCCTTATTATCTTTGTGTTCCATGAAAAAGAACATGATCCAAAAGCTGCCAACTATCCCCACTGCAGATAGCTATATGGTGCTGTGTATTAACCTAAGTAGAGCGACTAAACATTATGAGGAAAAGGAAAAAGAAAAAGAAAAAGAAAAAAGGAAAAAAGAAAAAGACAAAACTGTGGAGATGATTGTTAAGAAACTGTCCCTTTAAAATAATTGCTATAGCTAATATATGAAGCAACTAATAGCGAGATAGACATAGAAGAAGGGTCTATTACCTGGATAGAAGGGTATGTTCGGTTGTTGTCTGTGCTGTGCTCCCCTGGAATGCTGCCCGCTGATCGCCCTTCACATTTGTATCTAAAACGCATTCCCCTCTGCCTGGGTTGTTCAATTATCTCTATATACGGGTTATACGCACCTGAAAAGTTTTTTAAAAGGAGGAGGTCAGTGAGATTAATATAGCAATTAATAATGGATTTTAACACGTCTGTTTTTTCATAACAGCAGACTAAAATAAAGATTTTTTTTTCCTCCTAACATTAAATAACAAGGTTGAAATGTTATCTTGGAGATTGGCTGGGAGAGGCACCTTTTTTTCCCCATTCAGATTGAGTCCCTATGTAGTGTCAAAACAAGTCATTCAAACCATATTGATTGGTTAGCACTTTATAGCTTAATATCTATAGCTAACATCAATATGAACTTCTGAGATAACCACTTCAGAGATATCCACCTCCCACGTGAGACCTAGCAGAAGGGTTTCCCCCAAGATTCCCCAAGAAGGGTAAAGAAGATAGTACTCAGAAGTAAAATATTACACTCCTAAAGTGAGTTAAATGTATTTAACTGCTTGATTTTACATCATATTCATAATACTGAATGAAAAGACCATTCACTGAAAATGAAAATGCATTTAAATCCCTGCAGAAGCATATGTAAGTTTTTTCTATCTCCATTCAAATGTTAAAGGACTTACACATAGTATATCAAAACAAGCCCCAGGAGGGACTTTAGGCTCAAAGAATGTGTCACCAGTCCCATGTAAACCTTTTCTAAAGATACAACAGAGAAAAAAAATTATTTACTTTCTATAATAACTAAAATTCAAAATAAGCATCTGCAGAATGAATTGCTGATACATATAATAACATGATGACTCTCAAAATCATTATGCTGAGTGAAAGAAGTTAGACCAGAAGAGCACATACTGCATGATTCCATTTATATGAAACTCTAGGATATGTAAAGTAACATACAATGAACAATAGCAGATCACTGGTTGCCTAAGAACAAGAATATATGGTGGATAGGAAAGGCAGGGGGGACAATGGACATGTTAATTATCTTGTGATGATGATTCCAAGGTTGTATAGGTATGTCAAAAATTATCAAATTGCATACTTTAAAAGTGCAGTTTGTTGTACATAAATTATATGTCAATATGTCAATAAAGTTATTTAAAATATATGTAACTTTACTATTTTTTATTATCCAAATTGTGGGGGAAAAGGTAAATAGACACTCAACTGTACTTGCAAGTAGGGGAGTTAATAGGGGTGTGAAGATGTTTTCCATTAAAAAAAAAAAAAAGGGTCCCTTAATCAGTTTAGTGCCGACTAAGGCTTCTCCTGTTAGAATGCAAGCAATCCTGAGAAATGGTAACACAGTGGGCCTTATCAGAACAGTATGAAGAAGAGGCCTCTGGAATCCTACCCCAGCTACTTCCTAACAGTAAGACCACAGAAAAGTTATTAAAATTAAAATCTCTTAGTTTCCGCCTCTGTAAAATAGGAATAATCATAATAGCACCTATCTCATTGGGTTGTTGTGAAGATTACAGATTATACGTGCTAAATTCTTACCAAGTGTCATATATACATATATGTTCAATAAATGGTGTCTATTATTTCAGATGCTTTCTTGATAACAATGATTTAGTGATACCATGGTGGCATCACAACTGTCACTCTAAAGGACCTTACAGAAGAGCAAGGCGAACAACACATATTATTAGACTACAGAAGGAAGGAAAGCACTAACAAAATTTTGTGGAAATAAGAGCGGAAGAGTCAGGAACGCCCAACTGTGTCAGTGGAAAAAGAGCGGTTAATGAAGCAAAAGAGTGGGGGAAATAAAGAGGAAAAAGTTAGGTATTCTAGGGAAAGGGGAACAATGTGTCCACAGAGGAGGGTTTATTTAAGAATCACCAATGTTTGTAAGTGGAATACACTTCCTCTCTTAGAAAGAGAACTAAAAGTCAGAGCACACTTGGCAATGTGGATTTCATTTTATGTGTGATGAAATCAATGAATAATTTGATGCAGGCAAATCACATGATCATATTTACGTTTTAGAGTAAAAATTTTAAGCGGGGCACAGTGGCTCACGCCTGTAATCCCAGCACTTTGGGAGGCCGAGGCGGGTAGATCACGAGGTCAGGAGATCGAGACCATCCTGGCTAACACGGTGAAACCCCGTCTCTACTAAACATATAAAAAAAATTAGCCGGGCGTGGTGGTGGACGCCTGTAGTCCCAGCTACTCAGGAGGCTGAGGCAGGAGAATGGCGTGAACCCGGGAGGCAGAGGTTGCAGTCAGCCGAGATCGGCCACTGCACTCCAGCCTGGGCAACAGAGCGAGACTCTGTCTCAAAAAAAAAAAGAAATTTTTGGTCACAGCAGACAGAAAAAAGAAAGCAACGTGATCAGTTTAGAGACCACTATAATAATGTTGGCAATGATGACAGTATGTCTGATATATGGCAGTGATAAAAGGAATGAAAGATTATTTAAAAGATAAAATTGACAGCACCTGGTGCCTGAACATTAGGGTTAAGAGAAATTAAAAAATCACTGATGGCTCAGAAATTAAAGAATCATTGATGGTTCCATGGCTTCTACTTTGGGTTACTGAATAAAGTATTACCATTACTTTCAATTTTATTCTGTATGGTGCAAACTCTCTGTGCTTGAATCTACTACCTATTTGTTTATTCAAAAGATGAAGAGCCAGAGAAAACTGACTTTAACCCATACATAATCCTTATTTCAGTTTTACTCAAAAACATAAGATATGCAGATGAGTATTTCACAATTTTATCCTTGCATATTTCAAATATTTCAAATTCATACTGCAATTTCAATTTTTTTTTTTTTTTTGAGACTTAGTCTCGCTCTGTCATCCAGGCTGGAGTGCAGTGGCGTGATATCGCCTCACTGCAAGCTCCGCCTCCCATGTTCACACCATTCTCCTGCCTCAGCCTCCCGAGTAGCTGGGACTACAGGCGCCCGCCACCACGCCAGCTATACCTGGCTAGTTTTTTGTATTTTTAGTAGAGACAGGGTTTCACCGTGGTCTCGATCTCCTGACCTCGTAATCCGCCCACTTCGGCCTCCCAAAGTGCTGGGATTACAGATGTGAGCCACTGCGCCTGGCCGCAATTTCAAATATTTCATACCCTTATATATCCTTGTAGGAGTATTTAAGAAAGAGTATATTTTCCTCTTAAAAACTGTTAAAATCAACATTATTTTTTAAGTGACATTTTAAATAATTTATGTGGCTGAAGTAAAAGCCAAATAAATCCCCGCCCACTACTTATTTAAAGGTGTCTTGGTGGGAAACTGATATAAAATGACATCGTTGGCCGGGCACGGTGGCTCAGGCCTGTAATCCCAGCACTTTGGGAGGCCGAGACAGGCGGATCACGAGGTCAGGAGATCGAGACCATCCTGGCTAACACAGTGAAACCCCGTCTCTACTAAAAAAAAAACAAAAAACTAGCTGGGCGAGGTGGTGGGCGCCTGTAGTCCCAGCTACTTGGGAGGCTGAGGCAGGAGAATGGCGTAAACCCGGGAGGTGGAGCTTGCAGTGACCTGAGATCCGGCCACTGCACTCCAGCCTGGGCAACAGAGCGAGACTCCATCTCAACAAAAAAAAATAATAATAATAAAATAAAATAAAATGACATCGTTAATAAGTGTTTAACTTTGGGAGGGGAAGAGTATGAATTAACATTCTAGGTTCATAGTGAGCATTCAAGTATTTAACTGAGGCTGGGCATGGTGGCTCATACCTGTAAACCCAGCACTTTGGGAGGCCAAGGTGGGTGGATCACTTGAGGTCGGGAGTTCCAGACCAGCCTGGTCAACGTGGTGAAACACCATCTCTACTAAAAATACAAAAAATTAGCTGGATGTGGTGGCAGGCACATGTAATCCCAGCTACTTAGGAGACTGAGGCAGTAGAATTGCTTGAATCCAAGAGGCAGAGGCTGCAGTGAGCCAAGATTGCACGATTGTACTCTAGCCTGGGTGACAGAGCGAGACTCCATCTCAAAAAAACCAAAACCAAAAACAAAAACAAAACAAAACTTCATTGGTTACAAGACACTTCTTTAGATTGTTTATTAAAATGTCTATTAAAAGAACAGAAAAGTAGTTGTTGAAAAGATTAAATAAAATATTTTTAAATAGTAAAAATTATATAAATATTGGTTGTCATATAATATTGAGTATTTAAAATCCTTGGAATTTATTTTTCTTATTGCAGAAGCTCTTAATTGGTAAAAATTAACAAGCTGGGGGAATGTAGAGTATTACAACCAAGTAACAGAGTATATTGTAATGCTCTACATTCCCCCAGCTGGAAATAATCTCCCCTCCTTTAAACTACCATAGTATTCTGTTTATAGTAATTATTCCAAATAACTGTAATTTAGGGAAAATTACATCTTACCATCTTATTAAACTTACCATCTTATTTAATTAAAATTAAACTTACCATCTTATTTCTTCTTGAGATAAAGCTACTTGTTTTATTTCTTCAAGCTACTTGAAGGCAGAAATTGTGTTTTACTCATCAGTGCCTTGTATACAGATATTCATTAAACACCTATTGAATGAATGACTAAAATATCTTAAGGTATTTTGTTTATACAAGTTACTCAAACGTTAAATAATCATGTACGTGATTAGTCAGATTTTTTAATTAGATTCCACTACCAAGGGAAAAAAAAAAAATAGTGCTTTGTAGGTACCAGGATTGCTACACCTCAGCATTTCCTCATACTCATTCATATTTCGATTTATCTGTGTTTATGATTTTTAAAAAACTTCCCAGCTATAAATCATTTATATAATGCATCAGTATAATGCACCAGTTATCTCCTTCCTCAGTACTGTGCTTTGCGCAGTGCCATTCTTCCTGAATATAAAATGTGCTGAAAAGTAGTCATCTATGGAGTGGAAGAGGGTAAAATATAAATCAGGAAATTGTAGGGAAAATAAGTACTCTTAATTAAGATAACCTCAAATCGCCACAGTTTTGAAAAGCACAAAAACGTCTCCAAAGTTGGCTCTAAACAAGTTGATTACTGTATTTTTCTTTAAGCAATACTATGCAAAGTTGGGACTGACCC